TGCCGCCGGACGTTGTCCTCTACACCCGCGGCAGTCGATGGCGGCCGTGGCCTCGGCAGCAGGACCATCCACGCCTCTGAACGGCGCGTACTGCGCGTCTGTCGCAGGCCCGGAGCGGCAACACCGCTAACGGCGTGCACGAGCATCCCGTGGCAGCGCGACTGACACCGGAATGCTCGCAGCAATAGCGCAAGACAGAGGAGACGCACGCTGGACCCACCGAGGAGCTTAAACACCTGCCCAGGCTGCGGAGACAGCGTCTGCGTGGACACGTTCGGACGCCGCTGAAGGGGCCGTTGCGGGATGAGCCTAGAAGGAGAGCACCACCGGCCGCGTTCGTCCGCGACGTCGGCTGGGGGAGTGGAAGCCTGGGGACGAGCCGCGCGTGGACTGTTCGACCGACCGCGCATGGCAGCGCCGTGTTGTGGGCCGGCATACAGAGGACGACCAGCACGCCATGCAGCGCGAGAGGGGCAAGCAGACTCGCCGCCCGCGCAAGACGAGGGAGGGAGGTATAGCATCAAGATGGTCGCCGTGGTACGTGGTTGCCGTGCCCTACCTGTGGCTCCCGGTAACGTTTTCCTGCATGTGTACGTCAGATTCCTACCATATGCAGATCTCCCGCGACCTGACGCGTGCAGCCCGCAGCCCGGCACTACGTCCGCGCGCTGGACGCACGAGGATCCAGCGAAAGCGCGATGAGCTGCAGCAGACGCAGGGACGACTTGCGGGGCCTGACGAGCATCACATATGCGACGTCCCGCGGCGCGCTGCCGACGATGCCCATGCCCGTGTCCCAGATCGACGCTGCCTTCTCATCGCGCCGCGCATGATCATGCACAGGCTGTCCCGGCTCCACGAACGGCGACTCGTCTGCGCGCGATGCGTGTCCAGGACGTCGTGGGTTCATCCGTGGTGCCGCCTCCCGTGCCGAGGATCACCAGGAGGCCACAGATGCCGTCGCGTTGAGCGGGCAGACCGGAAGACGGACGCGCGGCGTGCGTAGCGGTCGTTTGTTGTCTGGTGTCCTGCACGGGCGCAGCGGGCGAGTCGTAGAGCGGGCGGGCAGGACCAGGAGGGGGAGGCCGTCTAGTGGTGGACTGCATGCAGTGAGCGCGCTGGGGATGGTGTCTCAACGTGACGACGTCAGCGGGGGCGCGGGTGCCTCGAAGGGCTTATGCTACAAGCCGGACAGTGTGAGGGTCAGAGCTTGTGCGCAAGCGCGCGGTGTGCGGTGACGCTTGAGCAGGCAGAGAAATCGCGGGGACACCCGCAGGCAGAGCGTGAGGAACGTTCGACCGGTCGCACGACCACGCACGCACAGTCACGACATGAGCGCGCACGATCGCCATTGTATGGGGATGAAGCAAGGATTTACGTGAGGGACGCACGACGACAAGGCTAAAGGCTACAGGAGGGGCACGTGCGCGGACACGCTGTGCAGGAACGGAGGACGCGGACACATAGGGCGTCATAAGACGATGATCCGGGGACGCGACACGCGTGAAGGGCTGCAGGAACGCGTCGCATGACGCGGGGAGCGTGCGCAATGGCGTGAGCGGCGGTGTCACCCACCCGTCACCTGCGCCGTATATGTACGTGCGACGTGGGCACGGGCGCGCGGGCGTACCTCTGCCTCGCTTTCTGCTTTCCTCTGCTCTGCGAACTTGCTTTCCTCTCACATACTGACGACGACCATCCGACGACCTTGGCTATTAGGGGCTTTTCATGGCATGGCGGGGCGCAGTGGCTGGACGCGGCTACAGAACCCGCGAGACGAGAACAGACCGCCGCCGTACGACGGACCGAGCGCGAGCACGAGCACAAGCGCGACACCACAGGCGAGACGAGGCAGCAGCGCATCACAAACCAGACGAGAAGACGAATCGGTGTTAGATTACGTCGCATCACTGCGCGCAGGCGGTGAGTAGCGGCACATCCATTTCGGGGGGAAGAGCCGCATAGCCGGGGATGCCAGGACCCCTGAGAAACCCCCTCAGAGCTCCGATCCCGCGCAGAACCCTTTTCGGGGGTCAGCCCTTGGTCGATTTCCGGGGAAATGCACATAACCTCGCCTCGTTCCGGTTCTTTTCGGGGATATATGGGATCTAACATCGAAAGGTTCGCTCACAGTTGCTAAATTCGCATTTGGGGGCGTCCGGCATGTAACCTGACCACTGTTCGGGCTCCATTTCGGGGATTGACATGTAACACTTTCGCTCCTTTTCGGGGGGTTCGAGCTCGGAGCTCTGGCGGGACTCTCAGGGGTCCTGCAAGTCCGGGCTATCGCGATAAGGTTGGGTGCTCTCAGCCACCGACGACGGCAAAAAGCAGGCAGAGGCCTGGGCACGATGACTCGGGCGACGCTGTGCTTCTGCTTCTACGTTTGCTTCTGCTTCCCCTCCGGCGCCTTGTGTGGTCCGTTCAGGCACGTCAAGCTGTCAGACCAGCGCCCTGGGCTTATCACGGCCGCGGCGAATGCACCCACTGCCGCCTTTGGTCTTATATCGCCTGCTTCTTCCCTCGTAACTTCGCCCACTGCTAATCCCCCTTACTCTCTCTTACTCCAAGTCTCTTTCCTGGCTTTGCTCATCTGCTATGGCCGCAGACAACGACAGCATCAAGTCGGGCACTTCCTCCCAGCGTTCCGTCTCCCGCGGACGCGACTTTGTGCGTAGCCCCTGTCGCACCTAGCGCGCTCTTCTCCTCTGACAGACGTCCGTCGCCCATCACAGCAATCGTCCGGGCGCGGTGGCGTTGGCAACATTCGCAGGACTTCCATCGACCCCAACTCTCCCAAAACACCCAACTTCAATCCCGAGGATGATGTGACTATGAACCGCGGTCGAGAGCCGGCGCAGGCTGGGGACAAGGACAGGGTGAGTGTTTTTGCTCTGCAGTGTTCTTTTTTCCCCTTCGACTTTGTCCCCCCTTCGCGGCCATCATCTTTCGAGCTTATCGCACGCGACCGTGTCTTCGCCGATATTACCTTTTTCGTCACTCTCTTTCGCGTTCAGATACCGGACCGTTTACCAACACGCGGTCTTGCGTGTGAGCCCAGTCGTTCTTCTCTCGTCTTGACGACGACGCACCGCCATGGCCGAGGTGCGCCCGACGTGTGCACTGCTTCGTGAAGCAGCGATCGCGCGCATACAGCCACGGATGTCGGGCAGAATCACGTCCCGCCGGGCGAAGGCCATCAGACACCGCATGCCCTGCTGAAGACGTAAAGTGCGTTGTGCGTCAGTCCTTATCAGGGCTGTTCGTGCTTTGCAACAGCGTTTTCGCGCATACAGTCTCGGACGTCGAGCAGGCCTATACAAGCGACTGATCTGCTCGTGAGCGCGGGAACTACGCGCGCCACTATCAGGGCGGGAGGGATCGCATGTGATTGCCTGACTCCCATCAGCTAGCGTCTGATGTGGTGCGGCCTGCCATTCAAGGCAGTACGATGTCCCGCGGGCACTTCTGGCGCAAAGCCCGTCTCATAGTCTGGTGGTTATTCTCTTGTCGCGGTGCTCGCGTGCTGGTTTATCGCGTTCGTAACAGCCTCAGAGGGTTATATTAAGGCGTGTCAAGCGCATATATGCGCTTGTCACTCGGTGCTTTTCTGTTCGCGACGACTTACTGGGCCCGTAATCGGGCGCTCACGAGCTTTTTCGACACCTCCATCGTCTTTTTGAACGGGCGTTGAATGTGCGACATTTCGGCGATGTCGACTGACGATCTAGTACGTTGATTCCGCGCTCCGTGTGCAGGCTTGGGCCAAACAGCGGCCTGCGTCGTGCCCTTGCATACCACTGCCC